TATAACCAGTTTGGACTTGGCATTGCGGGGATCAAACAAAACAGCCAGTACCCAAGTAGCCTATTAAAACTGTATCATGGTTTCTTACATAAATGTCATGTCTTTGTATCTCGAAGATACCGAAGGATATGTTAATCATTATTCAAGTACTTCATTTATAGGGGGAGCACTAGATATTGCTAGCAATTTCATCGCAAATATGTTGCGATTATAGAACTTCTGGTTCTACCATGATGCTCCAACGATAATGAAGTAAGGGACTTCGAGTCCAAAAAGGTTCCTTATCTGCTTCAAGAGATTATTAGGCAACCTTTAGTTTGATAAAAACATGACACTTATATGCATATAGAAGACATGTGAAAAGGCATTTTTAGATGTAGGCTGACTGGTGTATATATATAAAAATCTTCAAAGAAAAACTCGATCTTCAAGTCGAGATAATACTTATAGCTTTCACAAGCTTTTTATTTCAAAAAGTCTCAGTCTTTAAACATGAACTGACATTATCAAGCTCTTTATATATTTCATTGATGTTTACACCATCAATCTTGACTGAGATAATAAATAATGAATAAGTTCATTATCAACCCTTTATCGAGCACACAATGGTACATATTATTCCTTCAATGATGATATTAACTTCATTCGCAACCCTTTAAAGAGTAAATAATGACACATAAATTCTCATTTCGGGAATTATAAATCCATCAGGGATTTCTCAAAATAAATTTAACTGCATATCTAAATTTATTATTCTGCCAATTGTATTATGTAGCGGAACTTAATGCCATTTACCGTGGGAGAGTATATTTGATTAAAATCAATTAAGGGTCTCTGCGTGAACCCATAAGCTTACAAACTCGCTTCATATCTTATCACCTCGTTATTCTTACTTCTCTTTCATGCTCATACCCATTTGTAACATTCAGGGTTAACGCTCAATGGTGTAATGTTATAAAGAGAATTTTTCATTTTAGCGAGTCGAGCTGTGCCTTAATTTCTCCTTTATACGTTAAATAGTTATGACACTTCCGGTGCTTAACTCTGGATCCAGATTATCATATAACGAGCAATTTGTAATGACAATTGTGTTGTCGACAACTATATATAACCTTTTATAAATGTCTCCCATACTTGTAAAAGTTAATGGCAATTTTCTAAATAACCAGATTCTATACATTTCCCAAAGATATTTTGATCTGGTCGTTCCGCATCCCTAGTATTATGTTTGTTTGGTGCACTTATAAATTTTACTAGGGTTTTTCATCATCTGGACGAACGTCTGCAGGACATAATTGTTCAAGCTTATTTCAAGAGTGACAATGTTTCTTTACTAGATCTAGTATTATTATTCATATCTTTTTCGTCGATAGATCTCCTACACTTCTAGCGTCAAGGAGTATCGGTAGATATATTTGGTCCATGTTGGCCGGGGAAGGTACATGGGACCTAGTCACTCTTTTTATGATCGGTATGATCAGATGTATTTGGCAGATTATTTGCTAATATCGCAAATAGATTATCTTTTGAACTTCTAGTTCAGACTAACTAGTATGTGGATTTAAATAATGAAGATGTTTTCATTCTATGAAATTTCTTGGCATTCCATTAAAAGCTACGGAGTAGTATATTATCTCCCCCTAGGAATGCAGTCAACGTACCCCATTATATGTATTGATCCCCTATCATGGGCTTTTGATATTTAATCGATAGACGGAGGTTTCTCTGATAGCCCTTTTAGAGGTACGTTGTGGTGGTGATATATAAAAATAGACTGCGCACTAAAAATAACGCAGATAGGGAAATGTTACTTCTGAAACCACGTACTAGGTGAAAAAAGGGGTATAGCAATCCTTGAGGGATTGATTTGTGATATGCTTTGGGTTAAACTTGGGTAAAATAAACTTGACTCATAGTAACGGCATAGCAATCCTTCGGGGATTGATGGGATAGGTGGACCATTTTTGGTCAAGAATTCATCGTCAAGGTTCATCCTAAAGGGTGACTTAGAGAATTAAAGCCATTAATCTGCCTTCTGGGCAAATAAATATACAAAAATGAGGGCTATAAATATACCCAAATCTCATGTCAAAGAGTTTTTATAGTAGAAACTAGCACTGTAAACAGATCATAGTCTTTAATTGTTATCACATGCAAGCTAAGGTTTAGCAACGACAGGTGCAACCTAACCATATTGAGAATTCATACTATTGCCACACTTATAAGTTGGGCGACGAATCTCAATAGCTATGGCCTATAGCAAATCATAAATTGGCAACAAGAGAAATAGCAAAATCTCTTATATGAACATAATCAAGAGATTATATGCTAAATGTTGTCAATTAAAGATAAGCACATGCAATGTGTGATATAATTGTCCCTTATGTCTTGGACACCAAACTCTCAATTGAGTCATGCACATCCATTAAATAAAGAGTATCATGTTTGGTACACACAAGGCATGACATGACAAGAGATATTGTTTATTAATTCATAAATTAGAAAAATGAGAGAAGTACCGTTCGCCGAAGAATAATGAGCACATGTTTGCTGCCGGGGAGTCAAAAACAGCAGTTTCATACAAGCAAGCTATATGTAGTTCAGCAAGTAGAACGTACACGAAAATTTTCATAAAGAAAAACAGCACTTTTAATTTCCAAGCAAGCTCTCATTTTATCTCATAGTTTCATACAAGCATGAAAACATCACAAAATAGCAAGATATACAAGCTGAAAATGGCAGAAATTTTCAGAATTTTGACCTGGATTGCTGAATCTTCTGGGAAAAAACGGTAACACATTTTGACACAAAATTTTGCAGATATGTAGTTCAGCAAGTAGAACGTACACGAAAATTTTCATGCCAATCCAAGGTCTAGAAGTATTTTTTCTAAAAATTTTCCCAACATTACTCCAGGCAGAAAAATAATTGACAGCACAGTGCCAAAACTTTAATTTTTCTGGAATCACCAAAGTATATTTTTAACAAAATCTTTTTACAGACATCAAATACCACAAGTCTAGGTTCTCCAGAAAAAATTTCATGCCAAAAGGAGTTCAAGAAGTATTTTTCACGAATTTAATTTTCAAACTGCGCCGGTCAGAATTTTCAAGCAGTGATTACTGTGTAAAAAAAAAAAAAAAAAACACAATTTGTTTGCTTCAGGCAAACCAACATGATGTGAGTCAATTTTGACTTTTAGAGAGTAGCAAAGCATTAGAAATAGAAAATGCAAACTTCATTCATGAGCCATTAGGCACCTTAAAGATCAATCCCATTCAGGGTCTTTCAGACCTTATTAAAAAATAGCCCAATGACCAAACACTTAGCATAATTTTGTCATGTACTACTACTGGAGTACAATGTGACAATCATAACTGATGGGCAAGATAACGAGTGACAGATAAATTAGTGCTTTTGGTTTACCTTCTGGGCAAAACTATGTCTAAAAAAAATTCAAGAAATGACAAGAGATATTCTTATTAACCAAACTGCGGTCAGAATTTTCAGGTAGTGATTACTGTGAAAAAAAAGAAATGACAATATATGACAATACATATATAATACAAAAGCCACAATGATGGTATTAATAATGACCGTTACATCCGTTATAGAAATAATGTCTACTTATGATATATTTATAACAGAAACTAAAATTTCTTAACTTTTAGTATCATCAAAATTTAATTTACACTTTTTTATTTTTAACAGGAATAAGGGTCAAATAGGCCATCGAACTGCACATCAAAGTGAAATTAGGCCATCGAACTAAAAAACAATGCAATTGGGTCCTTAAACTATACAAAATTATGCAATTAGGTCTAAAATGACATTTTGACCTGAAATTGTGCTGATGTGGCGGTTACCGATTTTAAAAATAAATTTTAAATATAATTTTAAATAAAATAATTAATTAAAAAAAAAACTTGCGGGAGACGAATTCATCTCCGACAGTTTTAGTTTTAGTTTTTTTTTTAATTATATAATTTTAATTAATTATTTTATTTTAAAATATATTTAAAAATTATTTTTAAAATTGGTAACCTGCATTTCAGGTAAACAGTTCATTTTGAACTTAATTACATGATTTTGTGTGATTCAGGGACCAAATTACATTGTTTTTGAGTTTGATGGCCTAATTGTACTTTGGTGTGCAGTTCAATTGCCTATTTGACCCTTATTCCTTTTTAACACCATATATGCACCACATGACACAACAGAATGAATAACCCCTAGCACTAACGATCCAGAAACAAACCATAACCACAGACCATCCCGTTGCAAAACCATCTCACCAACGATGCACTCACCTTTGCAACAATGCACTCACTCTTTGCAACAATGCATCACACTACCCTCAATCATGACCAATGCAAACACTACCATTAAATGCAATAAATCCCAAACACACCGATCAGATGCATAATACACAAACGAAAACATAACCCTAAACACCAACACAACCACACTTTAGTTCTTATGATCCATAATACACACACCCCCAATATGCCACTCCAATGTTTCGCACAAAAACAATAATAAGAAGAATAAACATAAATCCATGATGAAACCATTCAACCATCAATAAAGAAAAACTAGACCATAATCAAAGAGACAATATGAGAGTTTCAGATGAAAACGGCAAAATTCACTAGATCTTTGAATCTTTAGATATATACATACTACTACTACTACAGACATTTGAATTTTTTCCATTTAAAATTAAAATTTCATTTAACTGGTAATAAAATTAATTAATGTATCAATAATTAATAAATTATTATAAATATAGCGACTTTTCAATATCAGGTCAAGAGCAAACAGAGGTCAACACAGAATTTGTTGTAAGCTAGCCAGCTCACACAAACTGGCTGTAAGCTATGCCAGTTTGCTGTGTCAACTATGTGGCCCACACATAATTGTGTTTCTAAAGATCCGAATCTACCCATTCGAAGATTCCGAGTTCCGACAGAAAACCGGAATCCAACGCCTGGAAAATCCACTCTGTCTCCTCAACTTGACCACCGAATATATACAGAGCATTTCTGTTTTGTTGCCATAACATTATTCCGCTCAGTATTTTAACTGAAAAACCCACCACAGAAAACAAACTCTTTCTCTTTCTCTCCCCTTCCTTTGAAGGGTTTGCTTTTTATTTTCTCTCTGTATTGACATATTTTCAAAAAGGCCGTCGCCGGTTGCAAAGGGGTGCCGGTTCCACAATTTTCTTGGAATTTGGCACCCTTTTTCATACATATTATGATGGCTGTGGATTTTCCGAGGAAATCATTTCATAACGTGTTTGAAAGAGTAGGGGTGTTTGGGAGTATGAGCCAGAAGGGGTGCAAGTATGAGATTGATGATGAAGATGGAAGCACCATGGAGATGGTACAGATTGGGGCTGAGAGGACGAAGAATGTGTTGATTCTCATGAGCGATACCGGCGGTGGCCACCGTGCTTCGGCCGAGGCCATTCGTGATGCTTTCAGTTTGGAATTTGGCGATGAATACAATGTATGTAATAAGTTTCACTTTACTTCTCATCTTTCATTCTTTCTTTCTTATTTAACCACAATTAACTGTTTGACTTAGTCTCCGATCTATTAAAATTCAAAAAGTTACTCAAAAGTAATTTTTTTGATTAGTTATTTTAGAGAGGTCATTTTTGGTAAAAAAAAAAATTGACCTATAGACCAATTTTAACTTTTTTGACAACTATTAATTGTTTGATTTTGTTAAAATATCAATATAAGTGTTTGGTTAATTAGTTTTTTGCAATTTCAAAAGATTAAAATTCAAAAAGCTACTCCAAACAACTTTTTCAAAAAAGAAATTATACCAAACACCTATCAACTAACAGTTAATTTACCAAATATTTTTCTATAACAACTAATGTTATCAACTAGTTATACCATCAAATTGACACAATCAGCTAACAGCTATCAGCTAACAGTCATTTACCAAACAGGACCTCTAATCATTTTGTATGTAATCAACTAACATTTAATTACCAAACACTTTTGTACAATCAGCTAATGTTATAAACTAGTCAAACTCACTAACTTGATCAATAAACTAACAGTCATTTACCAAACACCATCTTTGTCTTCGACCTAAAAGCTAAGGTCTTTTTTTGTTTCTTTTGTTTTTGTTATGCTGACAGCTAATGCCAGCAAGCTACTAGCTAGCTTTAGGATCCAACAAATTAAATCTCTATTATTAAATTAAAATGTTCTGTTTTTCCAGCGTATAGTACGTGTCAATAGTACAGTTTATGTTTGTGCAGGTTTTTGTTAAGGATGTTTGGAAGGAGTACACGGGTTGGCCATTGAACAACATGGAGCAACAATACAAGTTTATGGTTAAACACGTGCAGCTGTGGAAGGTTGCATTTCATGGCACCTCACCTCGCTGGATACATTCTATGTATCTTGCTGCCATTGCCGCCTACTATGCAAAGTACGTACATACACGCCTATATATACATATGGGTCACGTGTGAGAAGGTCTAACAGATCTTTATTCGTGAGACTTGATCAGGTCGGGTCGAATCAATATGCAAATGTCATACTTATATGTGTAAATATCATATCTATATGTTCAAATCTAATACTAATTAAGAATAAAAATTTTTATTTAATTATAAGGGAAAATGTAATACTTTTACATTTTGATGCAAAAGTATTAAATTTTCTATCAAAAATATTACATTTTCTATAATAAGGGTAAAAATATAATATTTTTAAATTAAAATGTAAAAGTATTACATTTTCCTTTAAAAGTATTACATTTACCCTTATAATTAACAAAAATTTTATTACTGATTAATATTACATTTGACTATATAAGTATGACACTTATGTGTATAAGTATTAAATTTCCATACCCACCCGACCCGTCTGATGGTGGGACCGTCTCAAACAAGATTTTGCACACGCACGCACGCGCGCGCACACACCCTTTTGATCTTCTTATGATGCATAAACTTAAATTAAGATTGTTGACACCAAAAATAAAAGTTGTTGTCATGTTTCCCACTCTTCTTGGAATTGAATTGAAGGGAGGTAGAAGCTGGGTTAATGGAGTACAAGCCAGACATTATTATTAGTGTCCATCCTCTTATGCAGCACATTCCACTCTGGGTTCTTAAGTGGCAAGGCCTGCAAAAGAAAGTCATTTTTGTCACCATCATTACAGATCTCAATACTTGCCATCGTACATGGTAAATTCAATTCTTTTAACACATTCCTTGATCTGGGCACATTATTGGAGTGATGAGTTAATACTACTACAATAATTCTAACAAGTAAAAGAAAATGCTTGTGTTGTGTTTAGGTTCCACCCAGATGTGAATCGGTTGTATTGTCCCTCCGAGGAGGTTTCAAAGAGGGCATTGCTAGATGGCTTGGAAGAATCTCAAATACGAGTTTTTGGGTTACCTATTCGGCCCTCATTCTGCCGTGCAGTTCTCTCTAAGGTGATCGATAATCCTCCATTTGTCCATTAAAGTTTCACCTACATTCTTAGCTCTTACCTTGGGTTAATGTTATGTTTGCCCACACACATATATATATATATGGTGTAGGATGAGCTAAGAGTAGAACTGGAGATGGATCCAATATTACCAGCAGTTTTGGTGATGGGCGGTGGTGAAGGAATGGGGCCTGTGAAGAAAACTGCAAAGGCACTTGGAGAAGCATTGTTCGATAAAACGCTTGGGAAGCCAATTGGCCAAATGGTGGTCATATGTGGACGCAATCAATCCCTTGTTTCCACATTACAACAACATCAATGGAACATTCCTGTTAAGGCCAGTATCCATTTATATATAGATATTTCTATCCAAATTAAAGCACTCATTTAAATTAAAGGCAACAACTTTATTACTTTACTGCTAGCTTTTTCCATTCCAATTAAGTTAAAGCTAGCTAGCATTAATAATGTAGGTGATCATTAGCAAGGATGTTAATTGACACTTGTGTGTGTGTGTGCAGATAAGAGGCTTTGAGAAACAAATGGAAAGGTGGATGGGAGCTTGTGACTGCATTATAACAAAGGCTGGACCTGGTACAATTGCAGAAGCATTAATCAGAGGGCTTCCCATTATTCTCAACGATTACATTCCTGGCCAAGTTAGTAATTAAACTTCTTAAATTCGGTCCTCTTTGGTAACATAGTTAGGTTATTAACCAATTTTGACTTGTTTAACCACTATTAGCTATTTTGACTTGGTTAAACAACCAATGTGAGACTGTGAGTGTTTAGCTAATAAGCTTTTTGTCGTAACAGATTATTGCTTCAAAACGTTAAAATTCAAAAGGTCATTTTGCATGGAGTTAATACCATCTGAGGTCCTCCGAGTATTGTGGTTTTGCCACGTTTAGTCCTAAACTTTCAAATTGACCATTTGTGGTCCTTCGACTTTCAAATTTAACCATTTGTGGTCCAAGTGAACCACCCATGGTCCTTCAAGTTTCAAAATTTAACCAGTCGTAGTCCTCTTAAAAGGACCATGGTTGGTTAAAATTTAATAGTGGAAGGACCATGGGTGGTTAACTTGGACCACGGATGATTAAATTTGAAAGTCGAAGGACCACAGATGGTCAATTTGAAAGTTTAGGACTAAACGTGGCAAAATCACTATACTCGGAGAACCTCGGATGGTATTAACTTTTTTACATGTAATCAACTATCAACTAACAGCTAATTTACCAAACATCTTTCTACCACTAGCTAATGCTATCTGCCAGCCAAATTCACTAACTCAATCCTCTAACATATATTTGCCAAACACCCCTATATTAATTTAGAGATTGTGTTATGATATTAATTATATATTGCATATGGATGCAGGAAAAGGGAAATGTTGCACACGTAGTTGACAACGGTGCAGGTGTTTTCAGCCGACACCCCAAGGAAACAGCGAGGATCGTTGTGGAATGGTTTAGCAGCAAGTGCGATGAGCGAGAGAGGATGGCTGAGAACGCACTCAAACTCTCACAACCAAATGCTGTACTCAACATTGTGAAGGACATCCATGAGCTTGCAGCACAACGAGGGCCCCTTGCTGATATCCCTTATATGCTTACCTCCTCATTTTCCAGCTTAATATAACCCCCCCCCCCGCCACACACACACACACATTTATAGCCTCCTGCATTATATATATAACGTTATGTACAGCTAGTGTTACTTTTTTCATCTCATTCTTTGATCTCGAGACTTGAATTGAAGCAAAATTTGATTTTTTTTTTTTAAATGAGCCGGGGATAATATATACTCGGGAAAATGGTCAAATAGGTCTTCGAACTTTAGTTTAAAAGTCAATTAGACCCCTAAACTTTTTAAACGTGCAATTATACCCATTAACAATTGCAATGAAGCCCAAAACAAGTTAATGACCTGCTATCATAGGTCATTAGGGTTCAGGCCACCTTCCGGCAAAAAAAAAAAAAAAGTGATCGCCGACCGACCGGCGAAATTTCCGGCAAAAAGAAAAGTGACCGGCGACCGACGAACGGTCGCCGCCGGTCACTTTTTTGCCGGAAATTTCGCCGGTTACTTTTTTTTTTTTTTTTGCCGGAAATTTCGCCGAAAGGTGGCATGAACCCTAATGACCTGTGATAGTAGGTCATTAACTTGTTTTTGGGCTTCATTGCACCTAAATGAATTGTTGATGGGTGTAATTGCACCTTTAAAAACTTTAGGGGCATAATTGACTTTTAAGTTAAAGTTCGAGGGCCTATTTGACCATTTTCCCTATATACTCTCTTGGTCCCATTTTATCAGTCCTATTTACTATTCATGAGTCAAATCAACTCTTTCTTCTTAGTTTATTTTCTTTAGTATTCTTTACTTATTTTTAAATTTAATTTTTTATGTTTAATAGTATTTTTAGTGTAGTTTCTAAATATATAAATTTTATAAACTAATACTAAACTTAATATTATGAAAAATTTGATTAAAAATAACTTCAGTTAAATCTTGTTAAACGAATCAGACACAAAAAATGAAACGGAGGAATTGGAGTATTAGATATTTCATGCTGCGCTAGTTGTTGATTTCTTTATGTAAAATAGGAACATGCACGATATTAATATTTTTTGTTCCTTAAAAACTACGGAGTATTATTGAAGATAAAGGAAATTGCACCCCAATATATATATATATATATATATATATATATATATATATGTGTGTGTGTGTGTGTGTGTGTGTGTGTTAGCTGTATTTACATAATATATATAATTAAATCTAATGTTTATATAATTATTTGCCAACCAAAGATATATAATATGTTAACTAAATTTAGATAATTTGATATTGTTTTGGACCAAAGTTCATTGCTTGATAGGGTCATAGGGCCTGGACAGAAAAGAGAAAGAGGCACTAAGACTCAAACCTTATTTGCAAGTTGTTAGGATAACAACCAACTAGTCCACCTTATCTATTATGCAAGTTGATGCAATAAACAATACTTATTAGTAAAGAAGGGTCGTGGCAGTGACACATGGTGACCGATGGTGAAGACAAGTAGGTGAATAAGGTTGATCTATTTGATGGATCTTAGCGCTGCACTATGCTTACTTTCCATCTTGTGACTGTTGTAAGTCAAACACGTTTAACCACATAGTTCTTTGGCAGCATATAAGATTAGCGATTGGCAGCACATGCGAAGTCGTAAGTCGCGGTCCAGACTTCGTCGCGGGAGTTTTTTCCGGCGTCTGAGTCATTGCATGGACGATAAGAGGCCATAGATGGGGTTATAGATGCGTTTAGATCAACCCTCGCTACTCAGATAGTTAATCAGAGTGTTCCGAAATTGGAGGACTCTGTTATGCAATCGGCGGTGTCCCGGCGGTCAGAAGGCGGCGACAATGAAAAGGATGACGGCTACTATATAAGTGTACAAAGTTGATACACATTAAAACCCATTAAGTTGGCTAATTTATTTTACAAAATAATTATAACTTATTTTTAGGTGTGTCATATGAACCTCTCCCATCAAAGGCATTATTTCTCCACCTTGGACAAGTTTCTGCATATATTTTTCAGTGGCTGCAAATGAATTAAGTGAAGTGGTCACTACAAATAAGGGAATATTTAATTTGTATGGATGTGATATTTCCCAAGCAAGTGAACAAGAATGTGTTTGGGAGAAGTTTGTTGAAAGAAGAATTACTATAAAAGAAAAGGCATTCCTTATTGAAGTTCACGAACTCCCAGGCTATTTTAAGAGACATAATTTCCAAACACTCTACAGTTCTAAATCAGGTTTATATATTGGTTTGAAAGTGAGAGTTCTTTTAGCACAGTCAATTTGGACCTGGTTCAGCAACATCAACAACTGAGGTCAATGAAGGCATGCACTTACAAATCTCGTGGAGGATGTTAGGAAGGTTGTAGTTGGTTGTAGTGGCTGTTAGCCGTGTGTACTAACCCCTTGTAAACCTTGGTGAACATCTAGTGTATTGGGCAGATGTGAGTTGCCTCACAGACGTAGTAGAAGTGCTCCGAACTGCGTGATCAATTCCGGTGTACTTGATTCAATTTCTTGCCTTTTTATTTTGTTATTTAATTCTGCTAAATGACTTCATCAATTGATACAGCAATATCAAATCTAAAATCAAGTAGAACATTAAGGTGTAATTTGAATTCAAGATTCACGGAAAATTTCAATTGGTATCAGAGCCCGGAGACTTAAATTACTAGTCTATCGATCTGACTATCCCGTGCTTCTTGAACTCAAGTTTTCAGCGGCTTTTTTTGCATTTGTTTATTTTATTAGTTTGTTCAATCTCACGGTGTGTTGAGTATTTTAGGATGAATCGACTTAAGGTGTTTCCCCAGTTAACAGGTGATAACTATGCCTATTGGAAAGCACGGGCGCGAACTCACCTGAAAGCTCAAGGAGAACTCATTTTGCGTGTTGTTCTAACGGGATTGACGCATCCTACTAAGGCCGGAGCTAATGCTGACGATCCACTAGTGACTAAACCTGAAACTGAATGAACTCAATCAAAATAACTAATGCTGGATATAATGATAAAGCCCTTGACACTATTTATTCATTAATTCATGAAAGTCAATTTCCTTTAGTTGCAGGTATTGATTCAGCAAAAGGTGCATGTGAAGCACTTAATCAACCTACGAAGGCACTACTTCAGTTAAGCAATCGAAGTTGCAACTGGTACAATCAAAGATGAAACCATCACGAGTTTCCATAGTCGTGTGCAAGAATTGGCAAATCGTGCAATGGTACTCGACGAGCCCTTTCCCCAACCAAAGCTGGTCAAGAAGATTCTATGATCCCTACCGCCTAGATTCAGAATGAAGGTCACCGCTATTCAAGAACATGACAGTTGGGAAAATATATCAGTGACTTAGTTAATGGGAAACCTTCGAACTTATGAAATGGAAATTCTTACCGATCACACCAAAAAGAAAAAATATGGAGTCTTTGCAGCTGAAGAACAAGATGCTACCTCTAATTCAGACGAACTAGGTGATGACCCAGTTGTGTTTTTGACTAAACAGTTTTCTAAATTTTTGAAACAGGTTTCACAAAAGAACTCTCGAAACAACAAGTCTCAAAATGGATCAAGCTCGAATGCATCAAAAAATGGCTCCAAGTTTGGCTCGTCAAATTACAAGTCTTCTACCTCTCGTCCAGCTCATTCCAAAGACAAACCAAACAATAAGGGGATTAGGTGTTACGAGTGTGAAGGCTTTGGTTACGTTCAAGCTGAATGTGCCACTTATCTAAGGCGAAAGAAGTCTATGACAGCTCTAACCTGGAGTGATGATGAACCTAAGTCAGAAGTAGCTGGATCTGATGCAGATGAAATTTCTGGTAATTTCGTTGCATTCACCGCCAGAACTGAAATCCTTCCAGAATATGAAGATGTCGCTAACTCAGAAGGAGGCAAATACACCTCAGCTGAAGATTTTGATTTACCTGCTTTAACTTATGAAGTAGAATATAAAAAATTGTATCCCAAATGAGAAGCCTTACGCAAAGTTAATCGTTCATTGTCTAGTGAAGCAGGGATATTAGACAACGCTAGAAAAGTGCACAAGAATCAAGTAGCTGATAGGGATTTGTTACTTAAAGAGGCTGCTAACCGTGAAGAGAAACTGACGTTGGAAATTAAGGCATTGAAGGAGGAACTGACCACACTCAAAAAGCAAATTCAAATGATAGACACTACTTCAACTCTTGACAAGATTCTCGATTCAAGAAGACAATCATCTACTAAATTTGGTCCCGGCTTCACTGATAGCAACAACAAAGACAAAACCATCTTTGTCAAAGCATCTGGACCAGATCCAGAAGATATTCCTGAGCCCAGTTCGGCAAGACAAAATTGTGGTATAATATGGCAAAATAAGCATGTTTCTAAGTATTATAACCCTATTTGTCAATATTGCAGGTTGCGCGGCCATATCAGACCTGAATCCTTTTACTTTTATAAAGATCAAAGACGAGAGAAGTTCACCCATAAGTATATTGCACCGTTTGTAAAATAAGTGTGGGTTAGGAAAACTGACTTCGTATCTCGGTCAATTCCAATAACATCTCAAGCACTGTTGCAAAAATCCCGCCTAGGCACCGATTAATCGCCGCCTAGGTGCTAGGCGTTGGTCGACTCCCTAGCGTATCACCATAATCGGTGGTCTAGGCGGCTGGCCAGCTAGGCAGCCGACTAGGCCGCCTAAGTGCGGCCTGGACCGGCTAGGCGCCGACTAGACCGGCTAGGCACCGACTTCGCCGCCTAAGCACTGACTCGGTCGCCAAGTTGGCCGATTATCTATTGGTCCCTTTTTTTTGATGGCTTATTCACTCAAAGTGACATCGTTTTGAGCGAAATAATCCTAAATTGTTCAGACTATAGATGTTTTTTAGGTTAATATTTAATATTTTAGTATTAACTATTAAAGTATTAAATAGTTTATAATTATCAAGTCTTTAAAAAATTCAAACAAATTTTTAAAAAATAAAAATAACATGGGCGCCTAGGCGCCCTAGGCGCTAGGCGCTCCTCGAGCGCCTAGCGATTTTTTCAACCATGATCTCAAGGAAGGGAAAATGATAATTGGCAAATTTGTTAATTATGAATCTGCAATTGAAAATAACAGGTATGTTAATTTACTATTTATTTTATTTGTTATTTCTAATAAGGTTGTTTGTTTTTCAGGAATAGGATTAATACTTTATCAACTAAGGGATTCTTAAATT